GTGCTTTGAAGTCTTCTCTGTAATACTGGCTGTTGTATCTCCTCCTCTCCTCAGCCCATTCCAGTGAGGCATCTGTCCCCAGAGGCCTCCATGTTGCCAAATGCAATAGTCATTTCCCTGCCTTCATCTTTGACCTAATGGGCCGCTCCTTCTCCTTGACAGGCGTCCTTCGTGGCTCCATCTGGCACACTCTTCCCCAGATGTCCGTGCAGCTGCTTGCAGCCTCCTGCCCCTGTCTGAGCCTCTGCTTTAGTGTTATCTCCTCAGAAAGGCCCTTTCTGACCACCCTGTCTGAAGTGGAACTCTCTGGTCCCTTGCCCTATTTTATCTATCCCAGCACTTTTCCTTACCTGAAATTTTCTTCTCAGGTTATGTGTTCATTGTCTGCATCTCTCCTCTGATACCTGAGACCCTTGAGGGCAGGGACATCTATCTGTCTATTCCAGCCTCTCCCGCCGACCCCCCTAGAATAGTATCTGGAACATGAATAAGTAAATAAATGATCATTCTGACATTTGCTCACATCCCCTACTTTCTCTATAAAGTGTTCAAATCTGGCCCTGTCCTAACTCAGTCCCATATCCCAGACCCTAAACCTTCAACACCAGCCGGCCTGATACGCCCAAGCACCTTGCAGTCAGCAGCCAACTAGTCGTTCCACAAACACACACTAAACACTCACCGCGTGCCAGGCCCTGGCCTAGGAGCTGGGGAATTCTGTGGAAAGCAAAACAGACCTAGTCTAGCAGGTTTACACAGTGAGTCCCCGGTATGTGTGCGTTCATTCATGCATTCGTTCCTTCATTCATTCGAGAAACACTTACGTGGGGTTTATTATGTGTCAAGCACTGTTCTAAGTGTTTTACAAGTATAAGTTGCTTAACCCTCACCCTACAGGCTGGGAATTCCATTTATGGTGTCGGGAGTGGGGAGAGTCCGGACCCAGTGGGAGGCGCCATCACAGCGGTGACTCTCCACACGGGCCCACTCAGGGAAGCCGCGGCGGCAGGGAAGCTCCTCCATTCAGTCTCCCCGAACTCAGGAGGTTTGGTACGTCGCCAAGAAGTCATTTTTTAAAAACTTAAATGAGCTGAACAATTCCTTCTGCTGAGGACTTGTATGACAGCTGTCACTGGTCGGCGGACCGCACTTGACAGAACAAACACGCTTCCAGAAAACATGGGCAAGGGGCAGATTTTTGAAGCAGAATCTTCACAATACAATTGGAGAATCTTGCCAATTGCAATTTTTATTTATTGAATTTTCTTAAAGCATGGCCTTTCAGATTTGGGAATAAACGGAATTCAGTTGAGAAATCAATGCTTTTCTAAACCAACAATTCAGAAAATTAATTATTCTGCCAACAAGCTGGGTCTAACTTCTGGGTCTAGCTGAGAGTTCTTGTATATAAAAATACCGTCATGTCCCCGTTGTCCTGATATAAGGAGCGGTCATTCCCATGAGCTTTCCCTCTTCAGTGGATGCTCACTGCAATTCCCAATGGCTGCTGCTCTCCCCATTTCGTACATGAGGGAACCAAGGCGCCGAGAGGTCAGATAACTCCAAGGGCACTTGGACTGGCAGAGTACGGAACAAGCCAAAGAAACTGCAACAACGGAGGTTTGGAGAGCAAGGTCCAGCCCTCAGGTGGGGGCTGAGGAAGGGGTGGGTCCCACCGAGGGGCGAAGCTCCTGGGTAGGGCAGCAGTTCCAGTGGGAGTGAGCACTGGGCAGCCAGGAAGAGACACGTGTCCTTCCATGTAAGATTCTACTGCAAGTTATACTGATTAAAACAGTGTGGTACTGACACAGGAACAGAGAAAGATCCATGGGACAGAATGATGAGTTTAGGAAACAGACTCATGTATGTGTGGGGCTTGGAATATGGTGGGAAAGTGTCATTTAAGATCAGTGGAAAAAGACTGTTTTATTTTATAAGGGTTCAAAACAATTAGCTATTCATTTAAGAAAGTTAAGTTAGAACCTTACCTCACACCAGTCACTGAGATGAATTCCAGAGGAATTAAACAAACATTTATAAGTATGTTACAGAAATACCGGAGAATCTGCTTATGGTGCTGGTTTTCTTAAACTTAGGAAGTGCGAACCAAAAAAGAAAAGACTGATAGCTTTGACTATATCAAATATCCAAATGTATGACAAAAGCAGCTTTATTCATAATTACCAAAACTTGGAAGCAACAGAAGTGTCCTTCAATAGGTGAATGGATTAGTAACCTGTGGTACATCCAGGCAATGGAATATTATTCTGCAATAAAAAGAAATGAGCTAGCAAGCCATGAAAAACATGGAGCAGACCCAAATGTACATTCCTAAGTGAAAGAAGCCAGTTTGAAAAGGCTACATACTGTTTGAGCCCAACTATGGGACACCTGGAAAAGGAAAAACTATGGAGACAGTCAAAAGATCAATGGTTGCCAGGGGTGTGGTGGGGGCGGGGAGGGAGGGGTGAGTAGGGGAGCACAGGAGATTTTTAGGGCAGTGAAGCTATTCAACACGTCACTATACATTTGTCAAAATCCATGGAATGTGCAATGCAAAGAGTGAACCTTAATGCACACCATAGATTTGGTGACCGACCAATAATGTATTGATATCGGTTCATCAATTGTAACAAATGTACCACACTAACCATGGGGTGGAGAGAGGGGGCAATGGGAACTCTCTGTACTTTCTGCTCAATTCTTCTGTAAACCTAAAACTGCTCTAAAAAATAAAGTCTATTAATTTTTAAAAAGAGGTACTCTGTACATGGGGAAAGACAAGCAGTAAAAATTACTTGTAGTCCATGCAACAGACAGGATTAGTATACAAGATATATAAGGCACTCTTACCCATTGATAATAAAAAAAGATTAAAAAATAAGAAAGTCGACAAAGGGTACAGACAGGTATATTTGTAGAAGAAGAAATAGAAGTGATTAATAAACGTGAAAAAATGCCTAAGCTCATTAATAATAAGGAAAGTATCAAACTTAATGTTGATGTCTCATGTTTTAGCATGCAGTGGGCAAAATTATTAGTGTTCTATAATCTCAAGTATTAGTGAGGATTAGTATGAGACTTGTAGAAGGGTACTAATTGCAGCATCACTTATAGAGAAAAAACTGGAAGTAACTTCAATACCATCAATTGATGCAATAAACACAACATGGTACATCATTATCAAGGAATCCCATGCATCAGTTCCTAAGAACAAGGTATGGCTGTTGGCAAGTTCACCAAAAATTGTGTCAAGTAAATAAAAATAAGCTATTTGTTTATTTTTACTCCCTCCCCTCCTCCTTCCGACAGAGCCAAGGCAGAGGGGCCCGGAGGCTTCCGGCACAGCGGCCGGGGCCCAGGCAGGATGGGTCCTGGCTGTCCACAGAGCCTGGCAGGGAGAGCCTGGGGGATGCTGAGCCTTTCCAGGGCCCCTGAGGTCGCCCTCTCCCTGCATTTCCTGATTCAAGTGTCCCCCGCAGCCCAAGAGAGTAGCCCTCACCTGAGGTCAGAGAGCCGTGGGAAGTGTCCACGAGAGGCTGGCCTGGCCCAGAGACACAGACGGCACCTCTCGATCACCTTTGAGTTCCCTGTCTCCGTCAGGCCTGGGGTCATGTGCTGGAGCCTCTGAAGTAAGCTCAATGATCAGGGCCACGTGCTTCCAGGCGTTGTTCCGAAGGTTAAAAGAGATAATGATTGAGATAAAGTATGACATAGTGTCTGGCACACAGTAGGCACATAAGCATTGTTGGTTTCCTTTCTTCCTTTATCATCTACTCCTTCCCTCCTTATCAACACTCCATCTTTTAACAAAAGATTTTATTTATTTTTAGAGAGAGGGGAAAGGATGGAGAAAGAGAGGGAGAGAAACATTGATCGGCTGCCCCTCTCCTCTCAAATAGGGACCTGGCCTGCCACCCAGACACGTGCCCCTATGGAGAATCGAACTGGCGATCTTTTGGTGCACAGGCCAGCGCTCAACCCACTGAGCCGCAACAGCTAGGCTATCACTCCATCTTCAAGTTCAGTCCATGCCAGTTAGCCACACACTGAGGTACCCATGAGTGCTCCAGAGGCCACAGTCCATGCAGAGAAGTGTCTCTGGCTTATAATAACCATGGTCCCTGTTACGATGGCGTGTCCAGTAGACACCAGACGCTGAGGCTGCCATTTCATCCACCCTTCACCTTAGCTGTCATAATCCGCACCTCAGGGCTAAAGGGCTTGAGGCTCAGAGGAGTGAAGTGCACTGCCCAGGGCTCCACGGTGAAATGTGCTGGAAGAGGACTCTCACCCAGACTTCTTGGAAATGGAATCCTCCCAGCCAGTGTGCTCAGAGATGTTTAACCATGAGCCACAGAATAATAGTTCATGTTACCATCAACACACGCGCACACACACACAAAACAATATTTACTTCTGCTACATTCAATGGTAGTAGATATTTCTATTCTATTCGATTCTTATTTTTGTGGCGCTGGTTGCAATCCATGAAGTTGCTTTCCTGACCCACTCGTCTAGTGAGTTAAGACCTGAAGTTTAAAAAACCCTTTCTAGGCTCCTTCTCCCAAATGACCTTCTAACACAGGTATTAGCAAACTACAGGCCCTGGGCTGATCCAGCCCCACGCTGGCATTTAAATGTTGTCCACGGCTCCTCTGCACCACAGAAGTAGAGTGGAATAGTTGCAGCAGGACCAAGTGGCCCACAGAGCCTAAAACATTTACTTATTTGGTTCTTAACAGAAAAATTTAGCCATCCATATACAGATCTAACTCTATCTCTGCTGCATACATTTTTCCAAGGCTGCCCTTTGCCCTCTGGCTCAAACTCAAGCTGTTTGGCCAGCTTAGAAAACAGCCTCTCTCTGGCCTCCTGTGCTCTGGTCCTACAGACCACTCTTCCCAGCGGGGTCCATGCTCTCCCCTAGCACTAACAGGCCGGGGCGGGTGCACAAAGCCCCACCTTGCTTCCTGATTCCTTGCTCTGCTCCCCCACAGGCCTCCTGGGGATGGTAGCCCACATGATGTACACGCAGGTGTTCCAGGTCACCGTGAGCCTCGGCCCTGAAGACTGGAGGCCCCATTCCTGGGACTACGGGTGGTCCTTCTGGTAAGTGGCTTTGGATCTTCAGACACAAGGACCCCAAGGCAGGCTGGGACTTCAGCTACTTAGCCCATTTGGGGGCTGGAGGAAGGTGGGGGTAGCCCAGGGTGCGCAACCTATATCGCATGGACCAAATCCAGTCCATCACCTGCTTTAATCTGCCCTCGAGCTAAGAATGAATTTTACATTTTTAAATTCTTGATTATAAATCAAAAGAATATTTTGTGAAATGTGAAATATGTGAAATTCAAATCCAGTGTCCATAAATAAAATTTTATTGGGATATAGCCACACTCATTATTTATGTATAGTCTGTGGCTGCTTTCACGCTACAGTGGCCGAGCTGAGCAGCTGTGACAGAGGCTGAGTGGTTCACAAAGCCTAGAATATTTACTACCTGGCCCTTTATGGAGAAAGTTTGCCAACCCCTGTCTTAGAAGCTGCTGTGAAGGTGGAGGTGGAAGCTGGCAAGGCCTGAAGGCAGGCGAGCCATGGAGGGCTCTGGGCGGCCCGATGGGTGAGGCGGACCCTAGCGAGGGCTCTGAGCAAGGGAACAGCAGTCACCTCTCAGAGCATGGCATGCAAAAGGCAGAATCAGTCAGGATTCTTTTGCTCATAGTGATAGAATCACGACTGAGGTAAACAAGGATTTGTATTAGTCTGTTTAACTGAAAAGTCCAGGGGGATCAGCTGGGGGGCGGGGGCATGTGTTGTAACAGGAAAAAAACCCACCCACACTAGTCTAAGCAATATAGAAATGCGCGGGTTCCTAAAAACAGAAAGTGCAGCTGTGGTATGGACTTCAGGATACATTTGATTGAGAGTTGCTGGCGTCAGTACGGGTGAGTCCTCCTCCGTGGTCACCTGAGCATTGCCCCTCACATCTGAACTCTGTCCCTCATCAGCCTTCCTTCCCGAGGCTGTTGCTTCTTCCTTCACGTACAGGCAAAGACGGGGCTTCCCTTTCCCCCGTGTTGACTAAAATCCCAAGCCTCCCTCTGATGATCCCAACTTTGGTCACTATCTCTCTTGAACAATCACCATGACTGAGGGAGTGCCATGAGTTTCCCGGCTCAGCTTGATCAGGTGCATCCCTGGAGCCAGGAACGAGTCAAAGACTCTCAAATGGTGAGTGGGGGGAACGGATGCTGGGCAAGCTGAGTCCAGGAGGCTCATTAGGAACTCAGTCATTCCCCCCCGCTTTTCTGTCTCCATTGTCTTTGTGTTGGATTCATTCACAAGCAGCTTTTCCCCAAGTGATAGTAAAGACGGTCACTGTACTCAGCTCTAGGCCTCACACAAATGTAGCAACACCAGCAGAGAGATGGGATTTCTTTCCATTATTTCCAGTCAAAACCCTAGTTATGACTTTCACTGGCTTAGCTTTAGTCACGTGAGACTCTGAGGAGACTGAGCTGCTCTAATTGATCTGGCCTGAGTCACATGGTATGGGTCCCACCCAAACCCTTGGACAGAGAGAGGAGGAGGGGAGGTCCCCCCGAAGAAAACTGGGGGGTTGGTGGGGCCAGAGTTGGCTGTTATCAGAAGAAGGAATAGACAGCGCTAGAAAGACAGTGACCACAGTTGTCCATTACACAGGAAGTACACGCCTGGTTCTGGTGGCTCACTTAACACCTATGTACTGAGCACTGACTTGGGGCCAGCCACCCTCCGAGGTGTGAGGCAGGGGAAGGGTGGGGTTACAGCAGTGTCAAGGCAGCCTCGTAATGGGACTGAGGGGCTGAGACCCTGCTCTGTGCCATGATGTGTGTGTGGGAGGGTCACTACACACAACTGTGGGAACACAGAGAAAGAGTCACTGACATCTCTGGCAGGCAGGGTTTTAGGGAAGCATTTGGTCAGGAAAACTGACAGAGGAGGGAAAGGATAGCATGCTGGAGAGGGATGCAGATGGGAAGGCTTGTGGTAAGAGAGCATCTTTGGGGAAAGGTGGTCGGAATGGGCCAGGAAGAGCTATGACTAAGAAAAGCCCAATGCAGACCAGTGGGGACTCCTGCTACATTTCCCCCTCTTCCCTCCCTGCATGGCTCTGCCCCCTTCTAGGCACGTGCCTTAAAGGGACCCTGACCCGTTCACACCACCCCTGATTCTCTTTAAGTAGAACCATTGCAGGGAACCCAGCTCAGGCTCTGACTCCCTTTTACCCACCGCTCCTTTCCCCACCAGCAGTTCCTTCCTGAGATCTCAACCCCAGAAATAGTCACCCTGAGCTAGAGGAGGAGACAAAGGAAGGAAACAAACATTTCTGAGTACTGACCACGTGTCTCTAATAATTTCCTATATGTATTGAGCACTGACATGTCATTACCACAACTGTGCTGTGAGGTGGGCACCTCTTGGAGGGTAACTGAGGCACAGAGAGCTTATATAACACGTCCAAGGTAATCCAGCCTGTGAGTAGCAAAGCCGGGACGAGGCAGGCAGGCCCCAGCGCCCATGCTTTCACCCTCTGCATTCCGCCTTTGGGAGGTGATGGGGTCAGAGTAGAACAGTTCATGTGTGCTCAGCACAGTTTGACACATGCCAGTGCCCAGGAAATACCATGTCGATATGAAATGAAACACAGACCACACCCCTTTGTTGCACATGTGGAAACCGAGGCTCAGAAGGGTTAGGTCACTGGCCCAGGATACTGAACCCCTTCCTCCCACAGGCCTCTCTTTCCCGGAGCCCCGGCTCTCCGCCCTGGCACTCAGAGCCGAGAGCCGAGCCTGCGGGCGTCGGCCATGGCAACCCGTCCTCCCCGGAAGCTGAGTCTCCCGCCCTGCCCCCTGCCCCCTCGGGGCTGCCTCCCAAGGGGCAGCGAATTCCCATCTGACGTATTTAATACCAGGGTCCAGTGTGTAGTCCCTGTTAGGGCTGATCCATTTCTCCTAGTCACCGAGGTGCACAAGCTAGATCAGCCCCATTTTTCATCTCTCGCATCTGGGGCCTTGCCAGGGTTGTGCAGTGTCATCTCTCTTGTTTAATATGTGTGAGGCCATTTGTCAAAACTCTGGCCCCAGAGGCCCAGGCACCAGAGAGGAGGCCAGCTCCACGGCAAGACAGCACCAGCCTCTGTCTCCCGGCCCAGCAGGGCAGAACAGACCGTGGGTGCCGGGGAGCAGGGTGGGGGGTGCCAGCTTCCTAGAGGGACAGCTGCTCAGGAAGGTGACCGATCGCTGGCTGGGAGTCTGACCTAACCCAGTGAGGTTAGCCCACACCCTGCGGCGCACTTTTGGGCCGAGGGGGGCGGTGCGGAGGGCTGCTTGAGGGGTGGCCTCCGGAGCAGATCCTGCCTCGGGCCCTCCCCTGCTGCGGACCCTGGCCAAGTCACTTACCCTCCCTGTGCCTCAGCGTCCTCAGCCGTAATGGGAGGACAGCCTGGGTTTCCGCTGCACTTGTGAGTGGCGATCCAGTTCTCTACTGATGTATAACAAACTCATCGCTTCAAACTTTAGTGGTGTAAAATAAAAATTTATGATTATCTCTCATGGTTCAGCGGGCTGACTGCCCACAGCTGGGTGGCCCTGGCGTGGGGCCTCCCACGGAGCCTCAGTCGGAGGCCCGCGTCGGCCGGGCTGGGCGTCCAGGTGGCCCCTGGCGGCACTGCTGGCGCGGGGGCTCAGCGGGGGCTCGCAGCAGGAGTGGCTTCTCAGCGCGGTGCCAGGCTCCCCGTGGGAGCAAGCCTTCCGAGACATCCATGCAGAAGCTAGAAGTTCATTTTATAATCTTGCCTCAGAAGTCACACAGTGTCACTTCTGCTGCCTTCTCTCAATCAAGAGCAAGTGATGGGGCCAGATTCAAGGAGAAGGGGCTGCACAAAACACCAGCCCCAGCAGCGGTGGCTCACGGGGCCACCGAGCACAGGGGTCTGCCTCGTGAGCGCTGCCATTAAAGGCAAGCACCCAGCCTCTACGAGCCTCGACTGCCTCATGCCCAGGGGAGGGATATTAGTAGGCAGGTTTAATGAGACCGTGGTAGGACTGTGTGGGACCAAGCTCCTAGAGTGCTTGTGCACAGCAGGTACTCGATAAGTGGCAGTGATTATAAATGGTCATAATGACATGAGGCTTTTGGTAATGCCACTCTTGCTTGTTGAGGCACGTGACCCAAATGTCCAAGAGAATGACATCCAATATCATCACCCCACCCCACCCAGCCTTGCTGCTCACGTTTGTCCCCAGAACTTCAGTGTTTTATTAGGCTCCAGCCCCAGCTGCAGCCTCCTCTCACTCCCCACCCCCTCCTCCGGCCCCGCCTGGGCTTTGGGACCCGTCTTGGCCCTGAGTCCCGGGCCATGCAGCCCTCCTGCCTGCCCCCTTCCAGCTCTGTGTCTCGGCTCTCTCTGGGTCTGCTTGTGACCATGCCAAGGCAAGTCCCTTCCTAGCGGGGTGGTGAGGGGTAAAACTAAGGTTGGCGCCACCTACTTTGTGCCAGGCACAGTGGGAGGCACGTTACAAGCTGTAAAGTCCTGTCATTGAGCCCCACAGAACAGTGACTACACCCTCTGGTGGGACGAGGGCACAGCCTCAGAAAGGGCAAAGGCCCAGGTCACACGATCAGCCATAGAGGCTGCAAATTGCAAGCAGCCCAGGGATGAACCCAGTCTGCAGATGTTTTGCTTAACCTGTAACAGTGTTATTTAAAAGTTCACATTTGTTTTTAACATCTAAAAAGGTAAACATTTTGCATAAAGATTCAGGCCTCTGGCTTTTCTTGACTTTTAGAAGATACGTCGCTGCCTACCTGGCATTGGCACCTGGCAGCAGACAGGGACAGCTGGATTTGGATGGGGACAGCTGAGCAGCGGCTGCCCACTCAGATGGGGCGTAGGCTCTCCAGTTCACCCCAGTTCCCACCACTCCCTATTGCCTTACACTTACACTTTCCCCACTTAGTCACTCAGCTGACCCTGCAGATGTCTGAGTCTGTGCCCCCCTACTTGGAATGCCAATGTGTCAGTTTTCCTGGTGATGACACAGAGAAAAACTAGTCACTTTGTA